ACGACGATAACGATCACCACGACGACGAAAACGACGATAACGATCACCACGACAACGACGACGACGACGACGATCACGACGACGTCGACGACAACGATCACGACGACGACGACGATCACGACGCCGATCATGACGACGACGATCACGACGACGATAACGACGATGACGACGACGACGTCGACAATGGGACGACTGCACGACGTTCACGACGACGACGAAGATCAGGATGATGACGACGACGACGATATCGACGACGACGACGTTGACGACGACGACGGGGCGACGGGAGGCTGATCACGCCGGCGACGACGACGACGATCACGATGATGACGATAACGATCACGACGATGACGACGACGATGACGGGACAACGGGACGAGCGTCACGCCGACGACGACGACAATCACGGCGACGACGACGAAGACGACAACGAGCACGTCGACGACGACGGCGTCGACGCAGACGGCGATGACGACAACGACGACAACGACGATGACGGGGGTTCACGGGACGACGATCACGACGACGACGATACTAGAGCTCATGACGTCTACGACGTCAACGATCACAACGACGACGACGACATCAACGAGGACGACGACGACGCCAACGACAGCGATCACGACCATGACGACAACGATCACGACGACGACGACAACGTGACGACGGGACGACGATCACGAAGACGACGATCACTATCATGACGACGACGACAATGATCACGACGACGGCAAAGACAACGACGACGACGACGATCACGACGACGATGACAACGACGACGACGACGACGACGACGACGACGACGACGACGGGACGATGGGACGGCGATCTCGACAATGACGACGAGGATCACGACGACGACGATCACGACGACGACGACGACGATCACGAAGACGACGACAACGATCTTGACGACGACGACGTTGACGCTTGGACGACGTGACGACGATCACGACGACGACGACGATCACGACGACGACAACGATCACGACGACGACGACGGCAAGGACGGCGTCGTCGACGACGGCAAGGACGGCGTCGACGACGACGGCGACGACGACGACGATCGCGACGACGATGACGACGACCACGACAACGGGACGACGGGACGACGACAACGACGACGACGATGGCGACGACGTCGACGACGGCGTGGGACGTGCACGGCCGTCGTTGACAGCAGGCTTTTTTTGGCATCCAGGTCCCAGTCTACCTCAAGCGCTTTCCTATTTCAAGGGTCGATCTGTGTTTGTGCTGTCTTCTTGTTACGATTTGGGCGGGTACGATGCCAATCTGCGTTCTCCGCCCATCTGCGCCATGCGTCCAAATACTTTTTCCGGCTGGCAGGTGTCCTCATGACGTGTGTTAGCCTGATGTGTCGGTACGATGGAGATGGGCGTGGAAGGAGTGGGTACGAAGACGGACACCAGTTCCTGCTCATCTCCAGCAGGATTCGCTGTCGACGTCGCAGCGGACGTTGTCCACGTGAGGCAAAAGGCCGCCTGTCTATCAACGGCTGGTGTCGGTTTTCAGCGACGCTTGCTGCTGGTCGTGGGTCGATTCACGTCAGGACGTGCGCCTCGAAGGAGACATACGCCATAGGCCATAGGCATAAACGCTCGGAGGCCCGAGCGGAGTTCTTGGATCGGCGCTGGGGCCCCCCTTGCGACGCCTCCGGCGCCGCCCCTGGCGCGCCCCGCGTGCGCTAGAGGGAATAGTCCAGCGCCGATCCCAAACAAGTCCGCGTGGACCTCGACTTGTTGTGTTTGTGGGAAGTTCTCGTCCCCTGGCGTTCGCCCAGGGTGCGTGCGTGTGTGTGTGTGTGTGTGTGTGTGTGTGTGTGTGTGTGTGTGTGTGTCTGTGTGTGTGCGTGCGTGCGTGCGTGCGTGCGTGCGTGCGTGCGTGCGTGCGTGTGTGTCTGTGTGTGTGCGTGTGCGTGTGCGTGTGCGTGTGCGTGTGCGTGTGCGTGTGCGTGTGCGTGTGCGTGTGCGTGTGCGTGTGCGTGTGCGTGTGCGGGTGCGGGTGCGTGTGCGTGCGTGCGTGCGTGCGTGTGTGTGTGTGTGTGTGGGTGTGTGTGTGTGTGTGTGTGTTGCCCCGTTCGGCCCCCGCCCGTCCCAGGCCGACGCCCTCCTGCCCTGGTCGGCTGCCACCCTCCCCCATCCGCCGACGGCGCGCCGTTGGGGGTGTGAGGCGAGGAGAGGTCGGCCGTCCAAGGCGCCAGAGGGGGGCTTCTCCGAAGCACTCCGGCTTCCCGAGAGGCCCTCTCGGAGGCCTCCGATGCCTCCTACGTGAAGGCCCCTCAGGGCTTCTCGGAAGACTGCCCCTCTCCCCTCTCCCTCTCCCCGCTCCCTCTCCCCTCTCCTCGGAAGACTGCCCCTCTCCCCGCGCTGCCGCCCCCCCCCACACACACACACACACCTGGCCTCCTGTCCCCGTTGCCGCCTGCCCGCGAGGCTGGAGACAGGCGGTTCGGCTTGGAGGGCAGGGCTCTGGTCGGATGGTGCCGGGAGAGACCACTGGTCCAATCCCCCTCCCCCTCTGCTCTCGCGCCCCTCCTCGCCTGCACGCATCCCGCACGGAAGAGCAGCATGAGGACTGGGAGGGAGGAGGGAGAAGGCGGGGCGAGGGGGGGCTGGAGGTAGGAGCAGCAGCAGTTGGATAGGAGGAGGAGGAGGAGGAGCAGCAGCAGCAGGAGGAGGAGGAGGAGGAGGAGGAGAAGTTGTGGGAGTAGAAGGAGGAGGAAGAGGAGGAGGAGGAAGAGGAGGAGGAGGAGGAAGAGGAGGGAGGAGGAGGAGGAAGAGGAGAAGTTGGAGGAGGAGGAGGAGCAGCAGCAGCAGGTGGAGGAGGAGGAGGAGGAGGAGGAGCAGCAGCAGCAGCAGCAGCAGCAGCAGCAGCAGCAGTTTGAGGGGAAGGCGTGGATCAGCAGTAGTTCCAGGAAGTAGATGGAGCATTAGGGAAACATGAGGGGATGCGGAAGGAGGGAAGAGAGGGAGTGGGGGTGCAGGTGGTGTTAAAGACGGAGAGGGAGCAGGAAGAGGATGAGAAGGAGGAGGATCGTGATGAGCATGAGTAAGAGAAGATGGAGCAGCGTGAGGAGTGGTAGCAGGTGGAGCTGGGGGAGGAAGTTCAGCAAGAGGCAAGGAGCTATCCGTTGAGCTTTCCGTAAGTGATTATGCCCCGCGGGGTAGCGGCCGCTCGTTGCCGTGTGCCAACACCCCTCAGGGCCTGTAGGCCATCGGCGCCTGGGAGGACTAGGGACATACCACACTCCTCCCTCCTCCTCCTACTCCCTTCCCATCCCTCCTCACCCTTCTCCTTCTCCTTCTGCTCCTTCTCCTCCTCCTCCTACTCCTCCTCCTCCTCCTCCTCCTGCTCCTCCATCTACCCCGCCCTCGTCCTCCCTCACTCCCCTCCCCTCCCCTCCCTTTCCCTCCATCCCTCCCCTACCTCCATCCATCCCTCCCCTCCCCCCCGTCTCTCACTCGGACCCCCAGGTTGGCCTCGCCCTCCCTGGCGCACAGTGGACTATACAATTACTCAATATGAATACTACTCTCCCTCTTCCCCTGATGACGTCTTTTGCGTATTTGCTCCCCCCCCCGCGTATTGTTTTTTTACAGACACGATTCCCCGGAGTTGGGTTTTCGCCTGCGTTGTTTTTCAAAATATTGCTCTCGCTGAGGCGCCGGCCTCATTTCTGCTCCCGAATCGTTCCGAATCGTGCTCCCGCTGCAGCGTGGGCCTCATTTTCGGATCGGTGTTTTGCCTCCGTCGGTCAGGATGGCGTTCTCGCCCCAGCGCGGGCCTCTTTCTCGCGCGCCCATCCGCCCGCCACCACCGCGCCGCACCACGCCCCGCCCCGCCGCACGCACACCCACCGCCACTTCCACCCACCAACGCACGCACGCACGCACGCGCACCACCACCGCGCACCGCCACCACCACCGCACTACCCCACCCACCACCACCACGCTACACCGCGTCACACCACATCACACGCGCGCACACACAGACACACACGCACGCACGCACGCACGCACGCACACACACACGCACGCACGCACGCACACACACACACACAAACACACACACACACGCACACACACACACACACACACACACACACACCACCACCACCGCCATCACGCACATACGCACCTGGCGGCCCACCACCAAACCACCAAGACGCCACACCGCGTCACACCACAGCACACGCGCACACACGCACACACGCACACACACACACATACACACCACCACCACAACAACCACAACCACGCACACACGCGCGCACGCACGCGCACCACCACCCACTACGCACACGCGCGCGCGGAGCCACAGGTCCGCTACGACACGCGTCCGCGGATAGAGAAAATCAGCGCCATGGTAAGGGATGGGAGGGAGGGGTAGGATGTCAGATGTTGACGCGAGCGCACCTTCCCCTCTCCCCCACTCTTCCTCCTCGTCCCCTCCTCCTCCCCCCCGTATCCTCCTCCCCCTCCCTCCATCCCCTCATCCCGCCTCTCCCCTCTTCGTCCTCCCCCTCGCTCCCTCCTCCCTCCCCCCCTCCCCCACACCCTCCCTCCATCAGAGAGGAGAGGGCCCGTAGCCCCCCTTTCCCCCGTATCCTCCTCCCCCCTCCATTCATCTGGGGTTCCCCCTCCCCCTCCCCCCTTCCTCTCCCCCCCGCAGCCGCGGGTCTGCCCCAGCGCCCGAGCACGTGGATCGGGAGCCGGCGCAACCCCTACACCCCGGGAGCGGTCCACCGCTCAGCGGGGTCCGCCCCTGGGGAGGAGGGGGTGTGCAGGCCGGGCGCTATGAATATGAATGCGCGGGAGGGCGGCAACGACCGCGACGGTGGTGGCGTCGCACGCGAGCACGCCGCTTCTCCGCGGCCTGGCGGCTCGCGCAGCAGTTCGCGCCCCCGGCCTCGGCAGCGCCGGACCAGAGTCTTCGGCCCCGCCAGCCCCGCGCCCCGCCGAGCAGCCCGCGCCCTGCCCTACATCGCCAGCCCCGCGCCCAGCGCCCCCGCAGCAGCGGCAGCAGCTGCAGGCCCGCGCCCAGCGGTAGCCCAGCCAGCGCAGCGGCGGCAGTTTGCTCTGGAGGGCGCGCCCTCGCGCTGCGCGAGCGTCGTCAGCGCGCTCGGCGCCCCTCTCAATGGCGGCGCTGCAGGGCCAGCTGCGTCTGGACGGCGCACCCGGTGACCCTGTAGCTGGGCCCTACTAGGCCCGAGTCAGCTCACTGAGCTGCTGGTCCTCATCCGGCAGGGTGCGCACCTGCCGCAGAAGAATCTGTCGGGCTTCCCCTAGGCGCCCAAGGGTTTCCACCCCGAATGGTGTTCCCCGGGTACCTGGCGTGCTTCTGGCGCTCGGCCCTCCGAGCGGCCTCGCCAGGCCGGCGTGCCGCCGCCGGCGCCACGTCCTCCGCCGCATGCGGAACCGACATGTCGATCCAGTGCCGGCCAGCCCCGCCGTTGCACTCGACGTTGAGGATTGCGCGCTCGACGAGGTCCTTGCCGGGCGGGTCTGCCAGCCGCCCGCTGCGGGCGCGGTCCTAGGCTTGCACCCGCTGTTCCCTCAGCGGCTTTTGGTGCAGCCAGCGCTGGACCAGGCCGGCCACCGCGTTTTCGAGGTTGCCGTTGCGGCGCGCCCAGCACGCAGATGGCGGCGTGCGGGCCTTGTTCGTCCAGCGTCTGCAGTCAGCACGGCGCGCCGCGGGCCCCTTCGACGGCAGGGCGGCTCTGGCAAGTGTGCGCCGCCGTCTGGAGCTCTGCCAGCGCGCATTCGGGCCTGACCGGGTGCGCGCGGGCGCGGAGCGCCGTGGCCCAGAGCGCATCTTGGATGGAGCAAGCAGGAGCGTTCGGGTAGTCGATGCACACCGCGGCCCCTGGCCCTCTGGCCCCTGGGAGCGTCGCGCGCTCGTGCCGGTGCAAGCGCTGCCTCAGGGCAACGCGGGGCTGCTTTTGCACAGCCTGCATGCTCCAGGGCGCCCAGCAAGGAAGCCCGCGCCCTGGAGGGAGAGCTTCGTCCGCGCGTCAGAGCTCGGGCAAAGAATGCGTGCCGAGGTCCGCGGCCAGGCTGGACACTCACGTGGCCCAGCAGGTCCAGAAGGCAGCGGCGCGTCGCGTTGCGGCCCCAGCCACGGGAGGCCTAGGATCGCCCGCTCCGCGGCGTCCAGGGGCCGCCCGGCAAGCCCGCCAGGGTGGCGTCGTAGCGCGCCGCATCCGCCTCGCCGGCCAGCTGCGCGCGGCGCCCGCGCAGGAGCGCAGCGAGCTCCCAGCCCCTTGGAGCGAGAGGCCGTGCCCGCCGACTGTGCGCCTCCACGGCAGGGCGTTCCAGAGCTGCGCCAAGCGCCCAGCCGCTGGCTCAGGGCCGCTGTTCTGGCCCAGCTCGAAGGGCGCGTCGGTCACGCCGTCCCCGGCCCTCAGGTGCGTGCCGAGTACGGGGGGGCGCCAGCACGAAGTGCGCGCGGAGCTGCGGGGGCTCGGGCCAGCGGCTCGGTCGGAGACCATACCTGCGTTTTCCTGGCGTTGGGCTCCAGCCCGAGGGGCTCCAGGAGCTCGTCCAAGCGCTGAAGGGCGGCCGTGGCGAACTGCGCCGGGAGCACCAGGTAGGCGTCGCCCAGACAGGAGTAGAGTCTCCACTTGTGGACAGCTCTCCGCTAAGAGAGCGCTTTCTTCTGGCCGACCGTGTAGGCAGCTGGAGCCAGGGGGCGCCCCTGGTCAAAACCGAGGTTACTCTCGACCTCCTCGAAGTTGCCCGCTGCATCCCGCCAGGGGTGTTTGGCGGAACTGGAGTACCACTTGTCAAGCTCCCACGCGATCTCTGGCACATGGACAGCCGCGGCCCGGATGGCTGGGTCTCGCCGCAGGCCGCCTTGATGTCCACCTGAGTGAACATGATCCCCAGGTGAGCGTCCGACTAGGTAGGTTGTCAGCTGCTTGACCACCAGGTCGGTCCCGCACTTCTGGCCGACGCTGGACTGGTGAGGTCCCGCCGCCTGCCATGCCGACCCGGGCCAGCGCAGGCGCCCCGATCCTCCTCAGGCTGGCCCCCGCGAGCAATGGGCGAACATCGCCGTGCCCCCTTGTGGAAGGCCGTGCACCACCTCGCTCGCCCGAAGAGGTTGGAGCACCGGCGCCAGCGCCTCGCCGAAGGTGAGCTTCGTGACCGCTTCTGCCAGCAAGGAGCGCGCCCCCGGGTCGTCCGCCGCCGCGGCGAGGTGCTCCAGGCTGGCCACGAGCAGGCCTGGAGCGGCCGGCCAGGGTCAGGAGGGACAAAAAACACACAGACACAATTCAGCGTCGACTCCCCAGAACATATGGGGAAATATAGGAAGTGGGGGGGGGGAAGACAAAAACCCTGATGATATGGAAAAATATCGGGGAATCCTTTTTATCTGTGTGTCTTTATTCGTGTGTTCTTGGGCCCCTTGACAGGGTGGCCTGCGGAGGAGGTTGCCGTCGTCTCCCTGCACCTCGCCCTGGGCAGGTCTGGGTCG